ACTTGCTCGTGGTGAAGGAGCTGAACTGTTTGACGAGGGCGGAAACTACGGATGGGCTTCTTGCTGGTATCGTACTTCAGACCCTGACTAAGCACTTCTGCAAAAGATTTGGGCTTTATTGCATTTTACCCAGGCCAAGTCCTTCTGCTAATGTTTTTGCCATGTCTCACCATGGCTTCCTGGTTTGATTTTTTTTTTAATTTTGTTTTCTCTTTTTTCTTCCGTTATAATTTTGTTCTCAATTTTCGGTGTGACTTGTACTCTATGACAATAACCTTCTTAGCTCTAATGTCCCTCCTACCCCTCAGCAGTTGACCAAGCTCCACCAGTTGGCTATGCAGCAAACCCCCTTTACTCCCCTTGGACAGACCACCCCCGCTTTCCCTGGTACGTACCCACATGCCCTTTCTAGATATCCTTCTCTTCTTACCTGTAGAGTTTCTCTCTCTTTCTAAACTTGTGCTATTTAATGGAAACAGGCAGGGCAAGTAGAACTGAAGTCCATGGGGAAAAGTTAACGGGGAGACAGGATGGATGTTTGGGGGTTACGGTCCTCATGGGTGAGCTCTCAGCCATTAACCGTGCATGCCTGGACTGCTCCTGAGAAGCCACACTTTCCTTGCTCCCAGCTTTGCTGGCTTTCCCAGCAGAAGCAATGAGCACCGGTCTCCCATCCTTCCCCTCCCAGAGGAGGTGGCATCCCCTGCTGTGCACTGATCCAGACCCCAGTGGGACATCCCTGCTTTCCTGGGGAGAACGGCTCGGTGCCAGCTGGGGATGCTGCCCTGGTGCCCGTGCGGAGTGGTGCCAAGCCAGGCAAGACTGCACCCCCATGCTGGGGAGAGCAACGGGAAGGAGCTGCAGCTGTAAGGAGCCGCACTGATGGGAGGACAGCTAGCCTCCGTGTGGCTCAGCAGCCTCATCCCCAAGGCTGGTGTTGTAACGCATTTCATGGTGACCTGGGAAGCAGATAGAGTGCAGGGGATGGAGATACTTAAAGTACCTTTTTTTACTCAGTGGTCAAAGTGCCAGTTGCAAATGCCTTTTCTGACAGTATGTTCATCATATTTTGAGCTTCCTAGATGAAGTGACATTGCTTATCTCCTTGAAGGCAAAAGCATTAAACCTGTTTCTTCTTTGCTCTTCAGGAGAAAAGCTGCCCTTACATTCCTCCGAAGAAGCTCAAAATCTGATGGGCCAATCATCAGGTAAAATGCAAAGCTACAGGGAAATAAGCAGGCTTCTGCTGAAATATATTTCTTAAATAGGACTGTGCCATTGCTGTGCTTCTAGATAAATTGTGGTATTTGTGGAGAAGATGGCAGGTTTTCTTGGTTGGCAGGGGGAGACTGGGCAGTGCTGTGCCTGCTCTTCTCCTTTGTACAGCATGTCAAAAGAAAAGTGCCTGGAGTTTATTGCCTAGGTTTTTGATGTTTGCCTATAACTGCCATCCGTCTAACAGAAAGACGTCAGAGTCATTGCCCTTATTCTTTCATTTAGTTTTGCATAAACTTTGCTCAGAAACAGTAGAAAAAAGCCTGTGGGAATGGAAACGAGACACAATTTTAGCCATCTCTAAGCCATTCAGGGTGAGCTGCATTTTTAGTGGGACAGGACCCTGAGGAACCAAAGCGTGGCTGTAATCTTGGAGAAATTTGATGTCAGATGCCCCACACATTCATCCATATGTGCTGAACATACTTACCTTTTATAACCTACCATTGCTTAGAGGAGTTATCCTGAGACCTGGAGGCTCGTAGGCCATGTGAGCCAGACCTCCCCTGGTTGCACCTGTGGCACATGCGTGCTCTGCGGCCAGCTGAGATGCATCGCATGCATGCCTCGAAAGAGTCTGGGGGCATCACCTAACTATGAAAGCAAATGTAGCCCAAGTAAATAGACCCCACAAGACTGTAGCAAAAATAGATTTCTTGATACCAACCTCCACAGCGTTGTTTTCTGCATGCCCTGCTTTGCCCTTTGCAATCACCCAAGGCACTAATTCTGCCCTGACCCCCCCACATTACAGCTGTGTAGATGACATATGCGTATCAGAGAGGGAGGATCTGATATGCTAAAATAAACAATCTCCAGGTAATGGAAAAGGATGTGGCCATGCCTCGAAGGTCGTCGTGATGCAGGGGGTGATGCAGTACCATGGCACTGCATGCCCCAAGGGCTTTCAGCAGCACCCATCGCATCTGAGCATGGGGCAGGGAGCCCTATCTATGAATCTGAGGAGGCCAACCTGCACTTCCAAAGACCCCTGGGTGCCTCAGCATTGCTCTGAGCCCATCCCCAGTGCTCTGCTCAACTTCAGAAGACATTTTCTGCCATACCCAGGCTGCTACTGAGCTGAGCCCTGTAATGCATGGCCGAGAGGTGGGGATATCTGCACCCTGGGGGCATGTCTTTGCATTAGATGCAGTCCATCTTGCCCTAGACTGTGAGGAGGCTTGGCATGAAAGACGGTCCAGGGCTGGTGAAATGTCTCTTCCAGTGCAGTGTGCTATAAAGTCAGCATTAAGCATTGTAAAACTGTGGGCTGTGTAAAACCTGGGCAGAAGCTGTTTTGTGCAGGCTTTGGCATTAGTACACCCAGCAGGGGTGAAGAAGGGCATAGGGCTACTGAGTGGAAGATTTGCATCCCCATTCCCTGCCTTTCTGTGTGCTCCTGAATGAAAAATGTGGTAGGGAGACCTCCTGCAAGCAGATGCCTGGGCAGCATACCCAGGCATTGTGTCTCTGTAAGGGAGGTGCATGTGGGAGAGCACAGGAATCATGCAAGTGAGAAACAAGGATACCTGATATTTTCCTTTCTAGGGGTGATGCTCAAATAAGATTGCAACCTAAGGCTTCATTTTAGGATTTTAGACATCCTGCTTTGACAGTGCTGGTACCCACACAGACATCAGTTCAGACCTACTGAGTTTTAAAACCTGGTCGGCTGTTGCTGGCAAAACTGGACAGGAGCTCCTCTTCTGTGGTGCAGAGGGCCTTGAGGGAAATGCAGACCATCAAAACTTGACCATTGCTTGAAGGAGTTGCTCAGTGTGGTTGAGGCAGCAGCATGAGGAAGCTCTGCTGGATTGGGTGACTAGGAATTCAGTGCTGCTGCTGTCTCCTGTTGTAGCAGCCCAGCACTTCCAGTCTCCTTGTCTCTTTTCTCTGCACCCCCTTACTCTGCACAAGCATCTTGGACTCTTGCACACACTGATCTTAAAAGCCTTCCTCGGTAGTTCATATCATATGGATAAGGCTTTTTTGAGGTTACTGCAAATTCCTGTTAGCCACTAGACAGCTTCTCTCTTGCAGATTTGCAATAGGACATCACTGCTTCAGCATTGAGGTGATTTAATGTGGAAACCTGTGGGAGAGGCAGGCTTTAACCTGGCGTAGGAACATTACGGCATGCTGTCCTCTTGCCTCTGGAGCTGCACACACAGGGCAGCCTGCTGGCTATGTACTGTTTGCCATGCTTTCCCTTGGGAGTAAGAGGGACCATCAGTCCCGGGTCCAGCTAACATGCATGTCTTAGCAGTCTGGCTTAAATTCAGTGTGCAAGTCTGTGGGGCTTTAACTTGCACGGTGCTTTGCAGGCTGCCCTGTGCTAGCATGGCTGGATCTCCCAGGGAAATCAGTTTTGGGGCACCAAGCTGCTGTTGTAAGCAAGCAGCTCTGTGCTGCTGTGTCCAGAGAGGGCTGGAGGTGCGTGGACAACCCTCCCACTGGTAGGCTGTCTGCCTCTAGGGTTGGGTTTCCCAGCCAGCAGGCGGTCTGCTGCTGGGCAGAGGGAGGGAAGGTGCTTTTCCCACCTCTGTCAGACCCTCCCCAGTGATGCTGCAACCTTGTGCTGTAATGCACCCTACTCTGAAGCCATTCCCAGTGGGAGGATGGAGGGTGGGAAGTGAGGCACTCACATGGGGCAGTGCCTGCAAGACTAGCTCGAGGGATGCAGGGGAAGGCAGCACCCAGCTCCAGAAGAGTCAGGTAGCAACTGTCTTCCTCCTCCTTGTACCAGCGTGTGTGATCCCCTTCCCCTCCCAGCCCCGGAGCAGGACGCAGCCTTTGCAGTGTTGACTGTTGCGGAAAAGCAGTGGAGCTCCATCGCGCTGCCTCTGCAAGCTATAACCATTTTTCCTTGCATATGTCCAGGTTTGGATGCCAGTCCCCCGGCCAGTACTCATGAACTCACCATTCCCAATGATGTAAGTAAATCCAAGTGCTTCCTCGGCCTATGTGTGTGTGAGTGTGTGTGTACACACATATATATGTGTGTCTGTGTGTGTGTGTGTGTGTGTGTATATATATATATATGCTGCAGACATATGACTTATGTTTATATTAAATATAATATAAACATATGAAATATGTTTAGAGATGCCCCTTCACCAGGTTCACTCATGCCATGTGCAGTCTGTTGGAGATCAGCCTGCAGCATAAATCACCCATTGGACTTTACCCCATCAATAGCTTTCCTAGGTACAATCCTCCTTAATACTCCTTTTCCTTTTCCAAGTGAACTCAGTGCTCATGAAACATGCCCAATGACTGCACTGGGAAGAGGAGAGAGCTCCCAAGTCAGCCCTGATTAAACTACAATTGCTTAATCTAGCACTGGCAGATCTGAGATGATGTTTCAGCTCAAGTGTAGTTGCTGGGGCAGGGCGGAGGGTGTGTGTGTGAAGAGGAGGTAAGTACATAGTGTTTCTGATGCCATAAAGTGCCACACAAGCATTTGAAGGACAGTGTGTCTCATCTTAGTACTGGTGGCAGGGAGCTTTTGGGTCTTATAGATGGAGGCATTGTGGTAAAGTGGATGTTGGACTGGGATATTCACTGGGAGGAGGCTGGAGTCATGCTGGGCACTGAGCAATGCGAGGAGGATGTTTGAGGATGCTCAAGTGGGAGGAGGTGGGATGGAGAGTCCAACACAGCCAGCACCTGGATCCAAGGGTCTCACTTGCTTCTGGACTGGCCTACCAGTTTCCATGGGTTGATAACCAGTGGGCGCTCAAATCAGGATCAGGGCAAGCAGGGGAATGACTTCCAGTCTCTGTCCCCATCTCCATCACCTACAAGCACCTTCAGCCCATCCTCATCAGGAGTTTCTCAATCAGGTCTGGCAGCTGTTGCCACTTCTTCCAGCTGTTCACCAACGCATGGCGGTGCAAGGGAAGGGCAGCAAGCCTGGCTGCAGCTGCCGGGCACTTCCGCTCCTCCAGGATACTTGTGAGGCCTCCTTCCACCCGAGAGATGTGGCAGTGAAGCAGCTTCTGAGCATCTGCCAGCTGAAACCCTCGGAGATGCTTCACTCCAGGGCCAACTGCCTCAGGGGGGGCTCTGCAAAGGAGCCCGTGGGAGATGGTGGCAGGGCTGATCCCTGGTCTGCTTCTCTCCATCCAGCGAGGAGCACCCTCCAGCAGGCTGCAGGGAGTTCTGCAAGCACTCCCAAGGTTGCAACAGCCACATCTGTCAAGTGTGGGGGACTGTGGCCCCAGCAGCAATGAAAGCATCTTCAGGAGTATCAAGTGACCCCCTGCAAAGGGGCCTTTCCTCACCTTTAACGTGCCAAGGGACCTGCTACAGGACCCAGGAGCACTCAGAGAATTTGCTCACTAAAAGCCCAGCTCTCACCAGACCTGCACAGCATTAAATGTCATTGCCTGCATCTTTCTGCCTGCTGAAAAATGCCTGCTTAGCTCTGCCTCCTGTCATTTTGAAGGCTCTTAAATTCCCATTGCTACCTTCCCAGGAAGCAGAAGACAGATTTGGGTTTCTTAAAGCAAAGGGTCTACAGGCATGTTTTAGTGGTGTAGATCAGCTTGTGGTTGTGCTGCAGAGAGAGGAGAGTTGAAGGAAAGCTAATGATGAAATTCATCTTGTCACTCCTCTGGCTGTCAGAAGAAACTTAAACACTGTGCAGAGATGCTTGGATGTTGCTGAACATCTCTCCAAATAGGTTTGGCTCCTCGGATCTCTCCAGCAGGTTCTAGCTGTAAGGGATTTTCATTTGCTGAAGCATGTCTGAGTTATTTCTGTGCAGTGAAGACCAGGATGGCCAGCTGTTGGCCTGAACATCACACTGCAGCCCCTGAGGTAGTTGATACCCTTCCAGCAGTGCAGTGGGGTGTATATTCAGGTCTGCATGGGACAAATCACTAAGGTAGCCCCATGGTTTGACAACAGGATCAGTGAACATTTGGAGGAGTAGTTGTCTCCACTTCTACAGTGACAGAAATCCAGCAGCTTCCAAGATGAATGTCCCACATATAAAATTCCCAGGTGCAACCTTGGAAAGGAGCTCAAATGCTGACAGCCAGGAAAGGCATACAGAAACACCTCATGCCTGTGTTGGTAAAGCTGGACATCTCAGTATGTGTTACCAAGGTGCATAGGTGCTTGAGAGAACCATAATGCACAAATGAGCAAGAGCAAAGATGAAGACCACTGAGGAAATTCAAGCCATTGAGGACCACTGAGGAAATTCAAGGGGCGGGCAACTGAGGAAATTCGAGCCTCCAGCTGTCTCTAATTTTTTCACAAGAGTGTGAAAGGCATGTTTTTAAGTAGGATTCTCCTCTTCTGCTGGTGCCACAGCCACATGGTGCTCTCCTGTCAATGCTGTGAACACCAGTGAGCCCTTGCATTGCACCAAAAGAGCTGAAGGGGGTAACAGAGGGAGCAAGGATGTCCCAGCAGGGTAGAAGTGTGGGATGGGGTGAGCAATGTGAAGCTATCAATGGTGTGTGGCTGCACTGGCTGATGAGGGCACTTGGGGTTGGGCTGTCCCCAGGGAAGGTGGCGGGTTTGTTTTCTTCTAGTAATGCATCCTGTATGATCATCTTCAGGTTCACTGTGATTAGCAAGGGGATTAAGTGCAGAACACAGTCTGAAACATGACTTATTCCTGTCCTTAGACCCTTGCCAAACAGGGACCAATTATTAGACCATTAAAATGATTATTACTGAAATGAGCCTGGTATAATGCCTCACTCTTCCTGAAGCCCTCTGAGATGCCAGACATCACGTGTGGATAACTGAAATTTGCCCCCCGAGAAGCAGAGCAGGGCAGGCTTCTGGACATGTCCTGGGAGGACTGTGCTCCCATCCAGGTGGGATTCACCCCCGGACTGTCCCTCTTCTTGCTTTCATGAGCATTAAAGTCACTCGTGCGCCAGGGCAGAGGGAGGAGGGCTTCTGGCTGGCGCCATGCAGTTGTGCTCGTGTCCTGCTGGTGGCTGCCAGAGCTGCCACTTCTCAGACATTCCCTCCATGCTTTTTTTCTAGCTAATAGGCTGCATAATCGGACGCCAAGGGACCAAAATCAATGAAATTCGGCAAATGTCGGGAGCGCAGATCAAAATCGCCAATGCCACGGAAGGGTCATCGGAGCGCCAAATTACCATCACAGGAACCCCTGCAAACATCAGCCTTGCGCAGTACCTCATCAACGCCAGGTGAGACTCCCCCGCCGAACTCCACCACCTCCCACCACAGCCAAACTCGTCCTGACGTTGCGGTGGGAGCAGCACTCGCTCCCGGCACCGCAGGCCAGGAGGGCTTCCTGAGGCCAGCTGGGATGGATGGTGGCTTGCTGAGACCTCTGAGTGGGGACCAGATGTCACCAGCGGGACCTCTTACCCCGCTGGTGCTTTGGCTGGGGACTGGGAGATGCTTCGCTGACAGTGGAGCGGCCGTGGGTTGCACCGGTCGCCTGCCCCCCCGCCACCCTCGCTCGAAGATTTTGCTTGTGGGTGGGCAAAATCACTGCTGTCTTTCACCATGGATGAGTCAGGGGACAGGGATGGGGACAGAGCTGAGCCAGTGGTGGGGAGGCATCACTTGGGACCTGCTCGCTGGGATCCCAGCATCGCCTACTGCCACCTCAGAGCCTCTTCTGCGTACTTCCAGACCTCCCAAAGGCTTTCCTCCATCCAATGAAAATAATCAGTCCAATAAATGCAAGACATGGGAACAGCCTGATTGCTTCCTTTTCATGCTAAAAAGCTTGGTGCAGCAGGACTTTGCAGGGGCCAAGCGCTCCCAGTGACACCTCCGGCTGGGGGGTGATGCTACCTGTGCTGTGGGGGACCAGCGTTCTGGCAAGGGACTGCAAGGGGAGTGTATAGGGGAGGCATAGCTGGAGAGGGGTTGAGGACCAGGTCTGTGCTGACAGTGAGCCGTGTCCGGGGTGCTCATGCAGACCAGTATGCCTGCATCTACAGACTCATGGATGGGGAGCTTAAGGGGAGACAGGGCCTTTCACTGGCTTTGTGCCTGCCTGGCACAGCCATGCAAGCTGAGGCCATCGGCCTGTCCATGCCCTCCGCCGCAGGCAGAGTTGGTGCCATGCCAACTTGCTCCCAGCCCAGGACGTGTGCAGCTGTCAGAGGCTGCCAGCAGGGTCCTGAGTACAGGGGGGACTGTTGGCAGCAACTTCGACATTTGTTGGGGTGAGGGCTGGGAGCACCAGTGAGGTCTGTACGTGCTTTCTTCTCCTTGTACCCAACCCCCCTCAGCCTCAACCTGCAACAGACCTCCACCATCCCATCCTGCCCCACTGTCCCGCTGCCCACACCCATGGCACCTCTCCAGCTGCTCAGGAGAGGGATGGGGACAGCCCTGTGCCCGTGGGCATGGCTGAGCACCTTACCCCGCAGCTCCTTGCAAATCCTCCCCACCTCTTGCAACAAGAGAAAGAAAAGAAAAACAAGTGGCTCTTCATTATTGGGAAGGGCTGGCTGAGCTGCAGCCTGTGCTTTGGCGGAGGCAGAGATGACCTGGTGAGGGGCAGGATGAGGCATAGCTCAGCCTCTCCCATAGTTTCAAAAACAAGAACAAAATGAAGAAGCCGGGGGCGCTGGGACAGCTGCTTGTCCTCCATGGGAGGGATGCTGGTAGAAGTGAAGCCATGTGCTGGGATGCCTTCTGCCAGCACCTCTGCCATAGCACAGTGCCAGGGAAGAGCATTGCCTGGCAGCAGTGATGAGAGGGGAAGGCAGCTGGCCATTGAGCTGGCTCTACGCTCCAGCCCCCTGTGCCCTCCACGGGGACCCCAAACCCCATGTGCTCAAGCTACCCAGTGATGCTCTGCCCCCCCAGCAAAGCAGAGTGTAGGCAAGAGGAAGAGCGCTGCTCCGCAGGGTCTTCATTTTCTTTTCTGCTCCGGATATTAAGCGCTTGTTTTTGTCTCCCCCCCCACCCCCTCTCTCTGCCCCTGTCTATTCTAGGCTGACGTCTGAGGTCACTGGAATGGGCGCACTCTAATTTCCACCCACCATCCTCCACTCCGCACCACCCGACCCTCTCCAGCCACCGGCACTCCACCCAGCCTATACTGCCTGTACATTTACTGTCTTCCCTTTGCCTCCACAGATACTCTTTTCTTTACTAACAAATATATATATATAAAAATACACATGCATAGGCACACAGTGGAACGTTTCTTTATGAGTTCCTTACTGTGCTCCTGAGGCTGCTCCCGAACTCTTTGGTTATGGTCCTTGTTTTCAGCGTACGGTGTTATTACTTCATCTCCTTTTCGGGGGTTGGGGAGGGGGGTTGTTTTTTTTTCCACTGGTGAGACTTCAGAAGACGATGGGGTCTCTAGTGTCAGTCTAGCGTAGCTACTTACACATTTGAGTTGACGTTGGCGGTACTTGCTGCAGCCTATGGACGTGTGACATCACTCAGAGCTGTGCGTGCTTCAGAGTACTTACTTTTCTCACCCTTCTTCCTTTGATGCTCCTGGTTCATTCGCTTTGCTTGTCCTGGCTCATCTTTGCAACTTCACATCCCTGCCCTCAGGGTAAGGCATAGTTTTCACCCAGTATTATTTGGGAAGCAGAATGTGCAGGAGCCAAGCCGATGTGCATGCATGTTTTCACCCGCAGACTTCTTTCTTTGCAACATGGCAGGGTCCAGACAAGCCATTTTTCGTACTAAACAAAGGGAATCACACACACACACACACAAATGGTCCTCTTTTTTAACTAATGAGCAACTGGAAGTGGGAAGAATTCAGCTGTATGGGATTCACACCCCCAGGGGCCTTTGAAAGCACTCTTTTGACAATCCCCACAAGCAAAACCTTTGGATGATAGCTCAGGAAGCTCTGTGAGTCAGCTGTGTTTGTCATTGTTTGTGTTCAATAAATGTCTGTGCAGCTCTGCTACCGATGGGCTCCGACTGTTCTTCTCCTGGGTCACCCTGCCATCTCCAACCCCATCCTTCCCTCTGCATTCTTCCGCACTTTTTTAGCTGCTTGGAGGGAAGGTGGGGGTTGTATACAAAACCTTCATCATTATTATTATTATTATTATCATCATCATCATCATCATCATCATCATGATCATCAAAATATGTTATTTTATTTAGAGAAGGTCCCCATGAGCAATGCACTTCCTGAGTGATTCTAGGCTTTCTTTTTTTTGAAGGGGAGGGTGCTTGGCTTGCACAATGCTTTGGTTTTCCCTAAGATTAATTCACAAGTTACAGTACGAGAACAAACATCTCTCACTGCCCCCTTGTCTGGACAGATCTGCCATGTCTGTGCTCCACACCTTTCCCCTCTATGCCCAGCCCTGCCTTCTGCTTCCAGGCTTTACATCTCTATCTTACCTATCAAATGGGAAAACAAATATATTTTCCATCAGTTAATTTCCTACTGTACAAAATGTATGGTACACTTTTTTTCCCATCTTGCAAATGAGGGAATCATGATACACCATGTCCCCAGGCAGCTAAAGCAGCCACACTATACAGTACCACATGGGAAATATATCATTTTTCCAGGTGAACCCCAAGACTTCATGGCCTTCCCTAAGGCACTGCTGGTATCTCCCTTCCCTTCTCCTGACAGGATGCTGGACCACTTCTCCTCCTGGCTCTAAGTGCAGACTTCCTGGTGCTGGTGCAGGGCACTCAGAGATCTCCTGGTCTGCAATGGGGACCCTCTGAGTGATGCTGCTGCATCAGTGGAGCCAGGGATGGGCAGGGAGTTATGGGCTCCAGCGCCAGTCCAGGGGCTAATGCAGCTGCTTGGCAGCTGGCCGGGATGATAGCATGGCTCAGAGAGGGCAAAGGGAGTGAGTTTGCTTGAGCAAGACAGCATGTGCCTGCTCCCTGTGTGTATCAGGCAGCATGGTCACCTCTCCTTAGAGGACTGTTGCCCCAGCCCAGGATCCCACTGCTGGAAAAGCTCCAGAAAGGTGGAGATGGCTGCCAGCCCCTGCCACTGAGCATCAGCGAGTCACTCAGCCTAGGTGTTGTAACAGCCATGTGTGCTCAGCTCTCTGCAGCATTTTAAGCCTGTACATTTAAAGGTGCTTCCAGCTACTTCATAAGATGCTTTGCTGCCTGTTCCCAACCCCTTGCTCTGCTCTCCCTGGCAGTTTGGATTCAGCCATGCCTTTCATGTGGTCCACCATCTGAACATGCTCAAGAGCATTCTCTTATTTCCCATCTAGGGGAGCGCAGGTGCTTTGGGCAGTGCTAGTGGGCCTCAGGTAGAGCCAGTAACCTCCCCCAGGGAGGGGCAGCAACCTCCCTTGTATTTGTGCTGATGCTGGAGCAGAGAGGGAACCCCGGCACCAAATGTTGCCTGCTCAAAGTTGCAGACCGGCCCACAGCAAGCATAGAGACACCTGCCAAGGTGGTAAGTCAGATGTGGGCAACCAGCACTCCTCATCCTCTCCTGTTCCTCACTCTGGTCTAGCCCAAGTATTTTTCCTGTTGAAAGAACAAAATATCTGTGTGTGAGACCCAGCATGAAAATAATAAACCATCAGTGTGCCAGAGCCACCACAGCATCCTGGGCAATGAGCCAGTGCATGTGCCAGCCAGCAAAAGCTCCACATCCCACTGCCACAACCCCCAAGTAAAGTGATGGCAGCCAGTGGCCTGGGGTGATGCCCCCCTCAGAGAGGGATGGTGCACGGATGGAGCCAGCCCATCCTGCCGTGGCTCAGCTCTCCCATGGGGCTGTAGGACCATGCCAGAGCATAAGCAGATCTTGCAGGTGATGGAGGCACATGGAAAGCAACCAAGGTGCATGGCAGGAGCAGCCTGCCTTTTCTTGTGCTGCTTTTTTGGCACACAGGAGCACTTTAAAATGCTGGCACATAGGGTGCAGTCAGAAAGCAGCACCAGCATTAAGTCAACCAAGACCGAGAAATCCATCACAAGCCGACATGTTTGTGGGGTTCATACATTTGTCCAGCGCTTATGCCCTGCGGAAGGTGGAGGACCTTAATAGCATGCTAATTGCAATGAATGTGGAAATGGCTTTGCACAGGGACCTGTGGTTTCTGCAGATTGTGGCTGCCCTGAATTTCTTTGCTGTGTGTGTGCTGTGCTCTCCGCGCTATTCCCCACCTCCACTGAGACAGCGCTGCCCAAAATAGCAAATGCCAGATTGGGTGTGCCAGACACAACTGAGCTCAGAAGCTACTAGAGAGGAGGAGCAGACTGCAGCAATACCTTTACGCTCATCCTCATGCCGGTGAACCTGCAGATAACATCCCTCTCTGGGTACCATCCCCATCCCAGTCCACTGCAATACGTCTGTCACCCAGCGAGACTGTGCCTGTTGGTAAAGCCACCGCAGGAATCAGTGGTGAAGGGGGGGAGGTCAGATACAAGCATCACTCTGGCAGGTATCCGAGCTGTCGTGTCAAGCTGCATTCTGCAGCAAGGACCTGGGCTCAAGGGAGCACTCTGGGCAAAGGTGCATGGGGCTGCGGGGGCACAAGGGATGGTCCTAGCGGTAGTGGCCACCTTACAGGAGCGCCATGTCCTTGCATCCTTGGCTTGGTGTGGAGCAGCAGCAGAGTCTCACAAATCTTCCAGCACCTAGATAAAAAGCAGCACTGCTCGGGACATGGTTTTTAAGGACAGTTACTGAAATGTGCCATCCTGGACGTCAGAGCATGGGGCTGGGTTTTGCCTTCTTCCCGTGGCATTTCAGCTCGCTTTATCCAAATGATGTCTGCTGGCTTGATTGTTAAATCTTGAAGTATTCCCAAGGGACTTGAGCAGGGAAAGTAACCTTGATGTAGCAAATGAATCACAATTCTGCTTTTTGCTCTGGTACAGGATGCTTTTTTGTTTTAGCTATCTGGATATCATTTATAATAGAAAAAGCCACTTGAACAACTCTAGCTGGGAAATGCCAGCTCTACTGCAAATGAAGCCAGGGGTTTCTCAAACTGGGCATGCAAAAAATGATAAATCTGTGCTGGAGCCCTACAAAGCACATGCATTTTCACCTCCCATTGCTCGGGAATCCCCTCCTCGGCAGAGGAAGAGATACAGCCCAGCCTGCTGCCCCTCCCTGCTGTGCATTCAGGTTTTAGAGGGAGCGGGAAGGAGCTAAGCCCTTCACTGTAGGGCTAGAGAGAGGAGAGCCTGTGGAAAGAATTGGGTGTAGGAGAGGGTGCAGTGAATGCTGCAGTCGCACTGATGTGGCTGAGCTATCCCTCCTTCTGAGATTACCTTTGTCTTTGCGACTTCTCTTTGGGGTCACATTTCGCAGGTTATTTTGCAAATAAAAAAAAAAAAAAAAAAGAAATGAAACTCCAGTGTTATGTGGGAATCTAGCAGCTTATCCTGGGCTTGAGTGAGTCCTGGAGAAAGAGGTGTTTAAACACTTACAGCATCTCTTGGGAACCTGTGATGACAACAATGATAACAACAAAATCACAAGGAATGTATCAAGCTCAGCTTTGATATCTTTGGTATGGCTCAAAAGGAGATTTGCCATTTTCTTTGGAAGGAGCCCCAGTGTTTTGCTTTTACTTGTGATATGTCTTGGGTTCACATTTTATATGAACTTAAAATGCTCCAGTGATGCATCCACAGCCATGCCACTGAGAAAATATGTGCACATCTCTAATATTGGAGTGAATATTCAATACAAGGTGAACATCCCAGTTAATCAATGGAATAGCTTTAGTGCATCACTTTTCTCTCTCAAAGCAATGCCTTTCATCCAGACGGAATGATTCAACATTTCTGGAAGTAACCAATTTGGTATTACTCAGTCAAACTCTTTGGGAATGCATTATTTTTGTGGGAAATTGTTACTTTGGCGAGAAAGTATTGGTCCAATACCTCCCCCTGCCCCCAGAGTGTGGTGACTTTCCATCAGAGAGGGACCATGCTCAGACCCTTGCACTTCAGCTGAAGGTCTGCACTCCCCTCATATCCTTCCCAGGTCATGATCCCAAAATTAACTGTTTGGAGTATTGTCATGTACATTTCTTTCC